TGCAAGAGAGAAGAGTAAGGTGAATAAATGTATACACTGTAAGACGGTTAGAATAAATCATAAATTGACATAAATGATTCTGTTTTATAAAAATCATTTAGTTTCCCTGTGAAAGTTAAACACATGCTAGAAAGCAGAGTACTGCGTTTGCTCATTTGGTCACTGTAAATTTCCTCCATCTTCCAGCAGCAAGGAAGAGAGAATTAGACAGAGCTGTCAAACTAAGCCACATTATTATTTTTCACCTTATACAGTGCATTTCTGTGTGAGTGCACTTAGGAGGAGGAGGAGGAGGAGGAGGAGTCAAATGCTTTCATGAAGTTGGGCCAACATATAACTACAAGTTTGCTTCATGGCAGTAATGTTTAAAAGATTCATTGGATGTTGTACAGTGTTTTGCTTTACTGTGCATTATAAATGTTCACACTACTGTATAACATTTTTATAAATTATTGTTGGTTTTACTGAACACTATCATCTCATGTATTCAGTGTGACAGCAGTATAATTGTAAAATAGTGGCCCTAGAGTTCAGCATTTTGAAGCTCAGTAATAATTTAATGATAAATTAGGGCTGAAAGCAGAATATCAACTCAGAGTGCATATTTTTTTTCCAGATTCATGTTCATCAGACACTGAGGCTACGGATTGTTTTTAAGCATTATTTTGTTTAACATGCATCACTTTATATGGCAGCAGTTTTATCATGCTTTAATCTGTTAAAAGTGGTTACATTGAAAACGACTGTGCATGTATGAGATATGAGGTTTTAGATTAGTTTACTCTGAAGGTGGAGGCAACAAGATACTCCAGAATGTTAGTAGCTACCCACAAGAGTACATGATGTAATAACCCAGAAGACTGAGCATATGTCTGTAAAGTTAATCTCATCACTCTGCAGTCGAAGTATCAAGACATTAGTCTCATTTCCAGTCACTGTCATTAGCAGATAAGAACACATGAACACTTTCAAGTTATGACTCGTAGAGACAACAGACATAGGGCTGCCTTTTAGATTTTGCACCGGGAGAAGATTGAACTCACTACATACAGTTGTAATGAGATCTGAACATGTGAGATTGATTTCAAAATCAGTTACTATATATAATACATACATTTGACATGTTTCATTTATAATCATTTTTAATAAAGTCACAATAACAGCAATGAATAGTAACTGAAGAACTAACACGATCAATATTAACAATATTAACATGATCATGTTAACTACACACAGATGAAACAAGAGTGAACAGTTTTGGTAATGATTTTACTGTTTAAAACAATGTGTTCGTTGTATGTACATTCCCTTTAACATTAAAAACCCTGAATTTTATCCACGAAATGTATTTATGTGTATCATATGAATCTCAGAATTAGTAGCAGTTATTTCCTTAAATAACATTAACCAATTGACTTTTATAATGGTGACACTGTGTGTTTGCTGTGAGGCAGCAATTGTAAACCACAGACCCATCCTCATCAGAGAGGATGTTACATAAGCACTATGAAAGCAAGTATTCAGGTGAAAAGAAAATGCTGGTCATGAGTCTCATGGGGCTTGTCACCAAGGCGAACTGTTTGGGGGTAAACAGCCAGTCATAAAGTGACTGACTGACTCGTGCCTCTATAGGCATATGCAGAGCAGTTGTCAATATGTAACAGCAGATGATCCATTGACCTGAACTGCAACATAGTGTCAATACTAATCTACTTGGTGAAGGATACAGTCATGTACATTGCCATTCTTTTTGTTCTAGGAATAATGAGTACATTTGGACTCCTTGAAAATTTTGAAGATGTAGGTGATCCAAAGAAATATAAACAGCATAAGGCTTTTAATGATGCATCTGATGAACATATTAACAAAAGTCTTTTCAAGGACAAGAAACTCAATAAATTATGGGATAAGGCAGAACGGTCTGGATTCACGGGTAAGTGTTCACAGAATGGTCTGTGCTTTGCATGGAAGGATAAATGCAGTTGTCTTCATGTGCTACCCAACAGTTTTCAGTCTGTTTTGAAAGGAAGAGTAGACTGTTATTTTCAAAATGCATTATTTGATATTTTGTGTGTCATTGGCCTTCTTTTGATTTGCAGATACAAATATATTGTTGTGAAGTTGATCAAATTAAACAAGGTCAGAAATTATTTCTTCTTGTATTTAGTTAAAACATTCACCATATTGAAATGAAAGATCTTAACGAGATTGTATTTTGTAATGTATGAGTCTATCAGTGCCTGGAGATATTTTTGGGACAACTGATAAAGCTCCATTTTAGCTTAATGTAAAGTAGGGATTATATTGGATTAAAGCAGGCATGTCCAACGCGTCGATCGTGATCGACTGGTTGAACGTGGGACAATTTTTGGTTGATCTCATAGGCCTATAAGGAAATTATACGTGAAGAGCATGTAAATTCACTTGTAATATAGTAATGTGATTATATTCAGATTTTGAAGGGAAAATAACCTATTAGTCATTCTTGTTTTTCTGTTCTTATGTAGCTTATGTGAAAATTGCTTTACACTTGCGTTAAGTGAACTGTGGGGAAGTCACTACTCTATCCTTGTCATGCCAACACTTATTTCATCACTTGTCGTCAGTTGCGTGTGTTCTGATGCAAGAGTGATCGACAGAATGTGTGATTCCCTTCATTCCCTCCCTCTAGTCAACCATACGTTGAACTAACAAGTGAGACGTATTATTATATTAGCTGTTAGTGGAGATTTGTCGCTTTGCTGTGGATTAAACAAATATAGAGTCTGAGGATGAGCTCAGTGTAATCAAAGGGACAGTAAGTGCTCTGCCCACGTTATTTTATTAATTTCGAAATTGTCCGTGTGCATGTATGAGATAAAACAGTTACCTCAATATAGTGGAAAATGCAACGCCTCAGTATCCTTGCCAGAAAAGGGTAATCTGGAACGTCATTATAATGCTCTCCATAGCAATAAGTATGATGCTGATTTTCCACCCAAAAATTAAATTAGTAAACTTAAGCTCAAAGAACTTAAATCGAAATTAGCTGCTCAACAACAGTTGATGGCAAAACCAAGGTCACTTTCTAACAATGCAACCAAATCATCCTTCAAGGTCAGCAATCTGATCGTTAAAAAATGCAAACCTTTCACTAAAGGGGAATTTGTAAAAGAGTGTTTTCTTGAAATAGCTGATAATGACATTAGAAAGTCAATCAGAACCTGTTTGAAGCTGGACATGCCTGGATTAAAGCAAACCAACGTTAAATTCATAAGACAGCTTTTAGTGTAGATCTTTATAGCCAGATTTTATTAAATTCTGTNATTGAAAGATGTTTCCGTTTGTGTTGCTTTCTCCCTCCAACTGGATGAATCTACAGACATCAGAGAGACAGCCCAGTTACNAGGTCAGCAATCTGATCGTTAAAAAATGCAAACCTTTCACTAAAGGGGAATTTGTAAAAGAGTGTTTTCTTGAAATAGCTGATAATGACATTAGAAAGTCAATCAGAACCTGTTTGAAGCTGGACATGCCTGGATTAAAGCAAACCAACGTTAAATTCATAAGACAGCTTTTAGTGTAGATCTTTATAGCCAGATTTTATTAAATTCTGTTCAGCAGTGTTAACAGATTAAATAAATGTGGACAGATGGACATGACCTTCCATATACAGGTGTTGGACAAAATAGTGGAAACACTACAGATATTGTACACACTTCTTTATTAATATGGTGTTGGGCCTCTTTTTGCCTTTAGTACAGCTACAGTCTTTGGAATGGACTTGTACTAGTTTTGAACAGTCTCTAGTGGAATTTTATACTGTTCATTTCGAAGAACATCTTCAAGTTGCCTTATATATGTTGGAATTGGAATTCTGTTCCTCAATGTAGTCTCCAAAACTGGCCAGAGTGATTCAGTGTTGTTTAAATGTGATCATGCTGATCAGGGGAGACGAAGTTCACTTTCATGCAGTATTCTGGATTACGACACCATGTAGTGGATACCAATGTGTTGGGGGAAGATTTGTACCTGCTTACTAGACTACATTGCGTTATAAACCCAGAAGACTACGACTTTTTAGTTTCACTTACAGTTGCTCAATTATGTATCCTTTGAAATAGTCTCTTTGCAAGTTAATACAGTGAATCCAACGAGGAAAGCATTTCTGGATCTCCTGCTTCTGGTTATCTGGAGGACTAAATTAATTGGGGCATAAGCTCTTGGTGGGGTCACCCAAGCTAGACAGGTTGAAGGATAGGAGCCAGATTGGAGTTTAAGTGTGAGGCTAACAACCTCACCACAAAAAATAGTATATTGTTGTGTGTTTGCTAGGCAACACAACAAGAATTTGTGTGGGTTCTCAGATTTGAAGAAATACCTTTACTGGACAGTCACTTTTACACTCAGATGTACAGTTATTCTCCACTTTAATGTTCTTTAGACCTTTTCTTCCCCAGTGTCACAACTCTTCTGCTCTAGTTGCATCTAAACTGAACTCTCATCGGAGCTACACTGACTCTTATAGTATGCACTTGGACTGACTAGGGAACATCTTTTTCAAAGGTTTCGTTTTGTCTGCTGTTATGCAACAAATGCGGGAATACGTACCTGCCTCAACAATTCATGTGTAACTGTGGAAACTCCACTGTTAGATGGCTAGCCATTGAAGCAGGAATGCTGGTCATTGCCTAGGAAATCAACTCTTATCTCCTAAACTATTCAGGCTTTTTGGCGGCACGCCACAATATTTAAGAAGCCCAATGGTGGATATTGAATAAAAAAAAATAAGTAAAACTATCCCTGTACAGGCCGTGAAGGCCCATAGGGTTGTGAGACGTTGAGGGTTCCACACTATATAGACAGTTGGCTCAACGATGGCGGTAAGGTTGTCAGCCTTATGCGCCTGCCGCGCTTTACTCCCCAGGAAAATTAATTAATTCCTGGTACTCATTTCTGTTAGAGGCTGATTTAACCCCAGGGCCTAGTGCGGCTGGAAGGATTAGGTCAATTGAAAAAAATCCAATGACCTCACGGGACTTGAACCCTCGACGTTGTGGCTTGTAGCATAGCCCCTCAACCAACTACGCTACCGCGTGCCACCGGTGGATATTGAATGGATATTTTAAAACATGGGCAAGTCATGAAGGAGACAGTGGTTATAAGAGAATGATACAGACAAGGTATGAGTATGTGGGTGGTATATTAAGCTTCAGATCCAGCTGCCAGGAAGCTGGTTAGTTTTTGGCTATGAATTGTAGATTTCTGTAGCCAGTAACATGACACTGTTCAGGCATGTACTTCTTTGCTGCTTACTAATGTTATTTTGTTCATTACAGCTGAAGAATTGCAGGCATTGAAAGAAGAATTCAATCATCATCAAGATAAGATAGATCAATACTATTCTCTGTTGAAGGATATGGAGGAGGGACCAAATGATACATATGAGAGTAAGCTTATATATCATAACGAATCTTAACAAATGACATGCAAAAACCTCTTTGGTATTTTTTTTTTTGCATTAGGTATGGCATTGGTTTATAAGATATAGAAATAAATGTGTAATTTCAGAAATATTTGCATATTTTTTAGTAGTTTTCAGTTCCCTGCAACAAGGAATGAGTCACTGCTTTGGCTGATTGCAGTAGTTAGAATAGACATAACTTCAATTAATTTGCTGTAGCAATAGCACAAGAATATAAAACGGTAGAAGTAATGCTTAATGATGCATGGTGAAGACTGCATTTGCTCCAGACGTCCACCAGCCGTAGTATGGAGTTACACCTGGCACTCTGAACTAAGTTTCTATAGAAGGAGCACATCATTTTACTTCAAACTCTCAGACAGAAGTCAGGTACAAAGAGAAATGACACTGCTGTGAAAAGCAAAGGTTGGCTGCATCTTACATGTGAGTTGATATTCACAATTTCTATTTAAGTCTGGGAATAACTGGTCCAAGGTGAATCTTGCAGATGTAAATAGTGATGTGGCAATGTGACTTCAGTCAGTAACTCAACCAAATACTCCTGTTTATTGGTGCCTATAGTGAACACTGCTATAACTTAAAAGTATAAGCAAAATGAAACTTAATACATTCACACCTGGGCATTTAATGCCAATTTTCAACAAGCTATTAAAGTTTTTTTTGTAGCTGATACAAGGTCGTACCCCAACTGAATACAAATTATTAACCTTTCGGCTGAAGCACAGGAACTTTTGTTTTGGTCCTGATATATTTTATGAAACACAACTTGCACCTCCTACGTGGGCATCTCTGTATTTGCCATGAGAGGAATCGTCACCAACTGTAATTATCAATTATTTCATGTAACCTAAAACAGGATTCTTGACTGAGGTCTGAGTACACAACATGAGCTACATTTTAGCTGCAGGTTCAGTATTACCTGGTGAAGGAGCACATTGCTTCCTTCACCTTCCTCTTGTGGAGTATGTTGTAATTACTTCTTCAGAAAGTCATGAAAGCTGAGCCTGTATTCTCAGATAACAGTTCATCTATAACTGAACAGGCTGGTGCAGTGGTAATACTGTGGTTATTTCGGACAAGCCGAGACACCAGCTCTCCTTAGGTTTCTCGTGGTTTTCCTCAAGAGGCAGATGCTGGGATAGTACCTTGATTAGACTGTAGCCTTTCTATTTCACCATTCATCATTCAACCAATATAGCCTGACAAATGACAGCATTGTTAAGTAACCGACTAAAGAATATGACCACTTATCTTGTATCTGAAGTGGATCAATTGATGATAGTTACTTCCGTTTACACTGTCCATCATTTCAGTACCATCCAACTAACATTACTTTCTTCTTCAGAATTGTCATCACTTGATAAATAAACAGTCCTTTCTGTCAGCATATAAGTCATTCTACTTCCTTGCATCTATACAGAACTGAAATTCTTCGGTCAGAACATCAGTGAACAATGTATGTTATGAGTTAACCACTTATATACGAACTGTGAAAGTTTAATAGCAACTGATTGTCATCTACTTGACAAAAGATGGTTATTACAACTGCTGCGTTTAGGTGGCATGAAAAGAATATTATGATGATGCCTGCAGTGGTTTCCACTGTACCAAATGCATTAAGATAGTACGAAGTATCTCATCAAAATTAAGGAAAATAACTTCCATTGTTAACTGTTTCTCTCATCATCAGGAATTATATGTCCTCAGGTTGTGCATTACCTGAAGATGTGGAATGTATTAAAAAGGTAGTTGCATACAGTCAACACAGCATGGTATCATCTTACAATTCAATACAACATAGTGTGTCACAAAATAAACCACACATAAGCAAAAAATTGAAGACATATAGGAACATGGAAATTAAGTTCCGTGTATTGTAGATGAGCCTTTGTGCTCTTTCACCTCCAAGAGAATGAGACTATGGTACCAGTCTGGACATGGTATTAAAAGAGAAAACTGTTGGCCTGGGCTGGAAATTTGATCAAGTGCATTCTTCCCCTCATACTTTAGTATTCTGAGGCACAGGAGCTGAGAGTACTGGAACTTTCCATTCCAACTGTTCTATAACTTATCTGATATATATTACATGTGTGTTGTTTTTAAATACACTTTACCATCTTTTGTTGTTAGATTCTCTGGATAACACATTAGAGCGATTCAATGTAATTGAAGAACAAGAGAAAACTGGCCAGGATTACCGTCATAAAGCTAACTTGTTGAGGTAATTAAATGAGATGTATTTATGCTTGTATAACTGTCCAATTTTTAAATCTAATTCCTTACATTGTAAGCACACTGAATTTTACTCTCCTTTAGAGACAAGCATCGAGATATTAGGGATGGATATGATCGCCTACATCGCCTGGCTGCCAAGGGGCCCAAGAGCAAGGAATTCATTGAACCGAAAGTTCAGGGACTGTGGCAATTGGCAGTAGAATCAGATTTCAGCCCCAGTGAACTGGAGTCCCTCAGGGTAAGCAATGTATAGAATTACAGCAGACCCTTTGTTGCTTATTACTTGAAGTAAGTATTATGGTGTTCTAGAGGCAGTACTGCCTTATTGTGCCAAATGTCTCATGTTTGTAATCAGTTTGTTCCAGTGTGAATGAAGTTTCAGAATTCTGCTTCTTGTCTTTATCAAAAATTAATTATTAAGTTCTTATAGGACAGCCAGTAATTCTTTCACAGTGCTAGGCTTAACAGTAAGAAGGTTATTATATCTAATTTAGTTACAGAATTGTATTACAAAGGAATTTGTTTTAAGGTTTGGCAATTGGGATAATAAGGAATTATTTTTCTAGGTGGAGCTGATGCACTATGAGAACCGGCTGCTAAAGTTACGCCACCTGCAGGCAGAGGTAGCTTTGGGGTCTGAAAGACGTGCTGATAAGGAAAAACTGGCTGGAGAGAAGAGTGAAGGAGTTATACTAATGGAGGAAACCATAAAGAAGCAGGCAAGAAAAGTTGAGAAGCTTCATCTGGACCTTGAGACAAGAATAATGCAAAAACACACAGAACTGTGAACTACAGAAATGGATAATTTATAGATCAGGGGCTTTTAAGTCATTATTGTGGTGAGTTATGCAGCTATATTGTCATTTGTATAATTTTATATGATGCTGTCTTTGTTTCATAAGGTAGCTCACAATTACAATAATGTACAGAGATCTGATTTAACTTGCGTAGCAATTAAAGATGAACTGTATTCTCTAGCTTTTCCTTTTGGATAATTTACCACATTGTTTTTGATGTTCTCAGTGCATGTTACCAATCTTTATTTAGCAGAATGGACTCATTTAGAATTGTTTCAATTAAGAGAGATATTTTTCAGCATTAAGGTGCTGATATTGTGGCATTTGCAGAGTTACAAAACCTGTTATCTTCAGAGGATCGGCAGAAAAAGTGTAATGGTTTACTTGGTTTGAGCTTCGTATGGTACAGTTGTAAATATACGAATTGGATTTAACTCACGATGTAGTTCAGTGGCAGGATTTTGAAATCTTGACTGTCATTAAACTATGGAATTTCATCATTAGGTGAATAACATTGGCCAAGATGTCCCTCTTCATATAAAAGCAGCATTGTGTGCACTTCCTTAGCTGTGTTTTCAGTAAAGAAGCAAAAAATTTTAAGTTTTGTGGTATTGAGAGGCAGATGGTATGTGTGTTCTTGTGTAATACTGTTAATCAGTGTTCACTGTATTAAGATCAGTCTGGTTTTCAGAAAAATGCAGTATCTACTCACACAAAAATCTTGGAAACCTCACCAGAAAGACTTCTCTTTCTAATACCTGTTAACAGTGTTTATTGTTAATAAACTCATGTTTCCAAAATAGAACAAAGCCTCTTGTATTCTCTTCTGTCCTTCAGTAAGTGCTCCTCTTGTAACTGTGTCCACACTTTCTATACTCTGTTTTGTACACATTCCATCACTTGGTTCCTCGACCTAGTCCTTGTCTTGTTATCTTTCAGACATGTAACGTGTCCATATGACTATATCCTTAGTATCTCATTTTTTTCTATTATATGTTACTTTCAGTTGTTGCCCAATGTCCTCCTGAGTTCTCATTGTATCCACTGTTAATTTCTTGATGCTCTGCAGGCATCTACTATTTTCTAATCTGTCAGTCTCAATTAGGTTGAAGGCAGAGACAGATGATAATGGGTTTTAAAATTATGGACGACTTTGCACAGAGGAGGGTGCAGAAAACAAGTTATGAGGCATGCTGATGCAGTTCCTTCAATATCCGTAACATGTGATAAGGGGAGAACATACTTTTAGCATTTTTTGGTAGCTGTTTGATGTAACAGGAAAACAACAGCTGCAGAAGGTAGTGTCTTGTTTCAGTTGTAATTTGGTGATACAATACTACATAGCTTATTTTATAACAAATTAGAACATGGATATGAAAAGTTTTTAAAGCATAGGTCATGCTCAAAAACATAAAGCTCTTTTTGCATACACACAGAGGCTGTTTTATGCTGTATGGACCAGTATGGTGTCTGAGCACTTTTTTCATAGAAGAATGAATATAATTAATAAATCTGTTATGAAAACGACACTTCAATGTAAGGCAAAGTGAGATGAAGTTTCTAATTTAACCAACTTTTAATAGAAGAAATGAAGGAAAAAAAATGCCTCCCCTTGTCACATTTTGAGTACCAGTGCCGCTGTTTCTAGAAAAGAGGGCTGTGTGTGTAATTATATATACTAAGACTGCTACCTTCTCTGAAATGTTGGGACACCAGCTCATCATAACAGTATCATTAGCACCTGACTACTGAGTGTGAGTTTCAAGAGACACGTAACTCTGGCCATGACACAACACAAACATTCACAGTGCATAAAGATATATTTTAAGTCTTCATGTACAAGCAATATTACAGATTCCTTTACTGAATGTCCCTCCAAGTGCTACTTGTGCAGATAAGGCAATAACTTTGAAGGACCATATCATGCCACTCAGCCCACAGAAGACATACCATCTTCCTACCAAAATGGAGGCAAAATGCACCCATTAAAAATGAGATTAACAAAACACAAAGGCAAGAAAATGTTAATGAACTCCTCCCTCCTTTCTGTCCATCATCTTTGTTTTGTCTTCTCTCTGGTACTCGTATGTAATAATATAATCAATTCAAAATATGTATGGAGAACATAAAGTGTCCCAAATCACTGTTAAGTTATGAACACTTGAACAAATCCCACCATAACCCTGGCTTCAAGATCAGCCAAACCTACACGCAGCAAAACTACTATATAATAATGGATCACTTCTGTCCAAGCTAAGACTTTGACTGTACTTTTATACTGGAACATCTCAGAAAACCGAAGACCGATGATTCCCTCACTAACAGAAACACAAAGTCAGAACACATTACTACAAAAGAAATATATATATATGTATATGTTGTCACTGCAATCAAATTTATACGATCATTTTTGTAAACTACAAAGCAATTATCAAACCAAGGATGAAACATGCAAAGAATTTTATTTTCAAAGGAGGAGCTACAGTATTTCCTGGTTCCAAAATAGTTATGTACACCGAATCATGTAAATATTTATTAATTACTACATTTTTGACATGTCTTGGTGCTAAATTATCGCCACACTGGAGAGACGTACCGGCCATACCACTGGAACACCCATGTCATCTATCATTAACAAGGGAGAGGATTCATTGTCGAGTCAGCCACGGCGACAATCACAAACACAAGCTCAATGACCAGGAACAAGCAGACTTGTTTTATAATATTATGCATCTCGACTATATTGTGGCTCGGTCATCAAACAGCAGAAAAATCAGAGTCTGGAGAAATGAATAGTGAACGTACCTATAAACCAAATAAACTCTATAGACTGCAGGAAGTTTACTGGAAGGAAATTCTAACATAGCTACCAAAGGTTTGTATCCCAAACACTAGATGAAAAGACCAAAGCATATTTCTTAGCTACAACTGGACATATTTCAATTAAAAAAATGTAGATACTTAGAAGAGTTACATCTTTACTATCTCCACAGCTGCACAATTTTTCTGCTAATTCCACTGAGATTTAGTGACTCCACTTAGTGGCCCAGCCCTGAAAACAGATGTAACAATTACATGACTATCATACATACAAGCAAGAATCACAAAGGCAAAAAATCATCAATAATTGCTGATAATTATGCATGCAGGTTTCACTTGAAGGGATTGAAAAAGAAGACATGGAAGATACCACATACAATAACATTTAAAGAGAAAATTTTGACATATATACACAGAAATGTACATCTTTGGTTGCAGAGAACAAGTCTCACTTATAAAATAAAACCTGATCTCGACCTCCAAAAATGGGAAAAGCACCCAAATCTCCTCCCCAAAATTCCTTACTTGAAATCTACAAACAAAAATTTTGTATGCATTTCCTGTTTCTTGCATGCAGCCCATTTCACCCTTCTTGCTTTAATAACAATGCTCTAAACCAGGCTTGTCCAATGCGTCGATCGTGGGACAATTTTTGGTCAATCTCATAGGCATATAAGGAAATTATACGTGAAAAGCATGTAAATTCACGTAATATAATATGATTATATTCAGATTTTTAAGGGAAAATATGTATTAGTCATTCATATTTTTCTGTTCTTAACGAACAAGGTAAGTCTGTACTTTCAATGTACAAGGGTTGGATAAAAAGTAATGGCAACACTGCTGTAGCATGAAAGATGTGCGTCAGGTGGCACTAGCGCCGTCTGTAGCTGATAGCAGAAGTTCAGTTGAAGTAGTGCAGTGAGTGACTCTGGTTGTGTTTCACTAAGTTACATTGTGCATGGTCTTGAAGTGCAGGAGCCCAGTTCAAGCACCCTAAGAACATGTTTACGAAACAAGAATGATGCTCCTGGATAAAAATTGAAGTTGCATGAAACTGTTATCAGGGACTGCAGGAAGCATGTGGTGATACTACTTTGCCATATCGAACAGTGGCACGATGGGTGAAATTGTTCCGTGAAGGGAGGGATGCCATTCAGGACAGCCCCATACTGACAACCACATAATTCAGCTTCTTCTTTGCTGGATGTTGATCATCGATGGGTGGTGCGGGAGTTAGCTGGTGAGGTAGGCATATGTCACAAAACTGCTCCACATTCTGCACAAAATTCTTGGATACTGCAAAATTGCAGCGCATTGGGGACCCCATACAATGTCCGAGGTGCAATAGCAATGTTATGCAACTGCACAGGACTTGTTGGACCGGTACCAGAGGGAAGGTGACAACTTCCTTGGAAGGAATGTCACTCTGGACGAAACTTGGGCTTGTTCATACGAACCACACTTGAAGCGACAGTCAAATGAATGGAAGCATCCTGGCTCTCCTCGTCCAAAGAAAGTGCGCCCTACACAGAGTAATGTGAAGGCGATGTTCATTGTGGCATCTGACATTGATGGAGTGATACTGTACCTCAACGACAGACAGTAAACACTGCCTACTACTGCAATTTCCTGTATAATCATCTTCGTCCAGCACTCAGGAGAAAGTGACGACACTTGTTGGCAAAGAACCCCATCATCCTTCATGACAATGAAAGGGCTCATACTGCTGACACTGTCAAGGATCTCCTTTGCCACTGGTGATGGGAGATTCTGTGACATCCGACATACTCACCCAATATGAGTCCATGCGATTATGATCTCTTTGCCAAAATGAAAGAACCACTGCGAGGGACACATTACAACACAAGAGATGAGATTATTCATACTGTAGGGCAGTCACTGCCGGACATCAACAGAAGTGGACGTGCTGATACTGTAGGACGCCTTCCACAAATCTGGCAGAAGGTTGTTCACATGGGGGGCAATTATATTGAAGGAATGTAAGTGTGTTTACCTCAGGTAATAAAGTCATTTCAGAACTGTAGAGGTGTTGCCACTACTTTTTATCCAACCTATGTATGTTGCTTTTACAGCAAACATCATGTGTCATGTTATTTTTACCTATATTTTTCATGTGTCATGTTATTTTTACCTATATTTTTGCTTAAAGAGAGGTACGATGATAGGAGGGGGTGGTAGATCACTGGCAGTTTTGACACTAAAAAGTCGATCACAACCTGTTTGAAGTTGGATATGCCTGCTCTAAACAATGTTCCCCTTCCATTGTTTCTTTTTCATTTTATACCTGGTTCACCAGTCAAATGTATACATTACCAACAATTAATTCCTGTAGATTCCAACTGATCTCTTGTTCAGTATTTAGTAAGCTTTTCAGTAAGTTAACTTGATTCCCCATTATAAAAGTAAGTAAAGCTATCCCTGTAACAGGCCGTGAAGACTCATAGGGTTGTGAGACGTTGCGGGTCCCACATTATCTAGACAATCAGCTCAAAGATTGCGATAAGGTCATCAGCCTTACGTGCTGGCCACGCTTTACTCCCCAGGAAAATTATTTAATTCCTGGTACTCATTTCTGTTAGAGGCTTAGTCGACCCCAGGGCCATAGTGCGGCTGGAAGGATTAGGTCAACTGAAAAAAATCCAATGACCTCATCGGGACTTGAACCTACGACCTTCCGGCTTGTAGCATAACCCCTCAACCAACTACACTACCGCATGCCCCAATTCCCCATTATATAGTACATTTTAATCTGTTAAATTTGGGAAAAGGTTAATACTGTTTCAAATATTTGCATAATATGCATAGTTATCTTCTGCCATATAATGCTGCATACAATTTCATACAAAATCCTTGGTGCTATTTGGGCCTGGTGAATCCTCTTTCTCGTGTTCTCTTTACACGCCAACTAATCTTAATGATCACAATGCCTCCTAAGTATTTATAATACTGATAATATTTTATACCTTCATTTCATTTGGGATACACACTCATTCAGTTCTGTTACTTCAGTTTTACTCTTTGTAAATATTTAGTACATAACAGTATGTACCAACCTAGATATAAGATGAAAATCAAAATTACAATACCAAAATATAAGACATACCTCTAAAACAATCCCATGAATTACTTTCAATTGTACATTTTCCAAAATCTTACCTGTTGTTTCTCTTGTACATCTGCTATATTTAGGCGACCATCTTCCCAGCTTGGTGCTTCCATTTTAACACCATCGGTAGCCGTCATGTCTGTCCCTAAACTTGCTCCAACACTGTAGTGTGGCAACAGGGGCAGACCATGATGCATCATGGACAGGGCGGCTGCAGTTCCTCCATTGTGGAATGGGTGTTGGTTTTCAGAGTGTCCGGGCTGCAGTGAAAATGGAGAGGATCACAAGATACTTAGCAAGAAACGATCACTTCTGATATATGAAGAATGAAATACTGTTCTTATAATACCAAACATTAAGTTGTTATTGTGGCATGGGGATAAAGCGCCATGAATTCTAGATCTTGGCACCTGATGAAAATGACTGGCTGCTTTCATGCTTCACCTGTTTTACTTCAACAGGAAAAGCCCTGCTACCCATGTAAATGGACCCTACAGCAATGGTAAATGTGCCAGGAATCAAATCTAGTCAACCAGCCAGTAGCAAATCAAACTGAGCTATTTTGGTTAATAAAGAACAAAATAAATATATTTTACATGCACAAACACTGAAGGGCATTAAAAAAATTTCAAAAGATTCACTGCCAATTACCAGTATTATTGTTCAAGAAAGTGCACTCTCTAAAAGCCAGTAATCGTCCAGTTCCTAATTGCAAAATTCTGTTCACAATATAAGCTTTGAAGAATCAAAATGTGTATACACTTCTTACAGTCACCAAACAGATGGAATTCTTTCTCCAGTCATTAGTACTACACTTGCGTTAGTCTGTCCAACCATGCACAATCACCCAGAAGCATCACAAGCTCGACAAAGAGCATGTAAAATGTTTAAACTTTTTATCTAAATGTATGATGTATTAACTGTCAATATATATAATAAACAATTGCTTCTTGTTTACTGAATGGTTCATATATTTTAATAAGGTTTCAGTTCATGCTGTGATGCTTAAAACTGCCAGTCAGACAAAACAGTTCATTGAAACATCGTAAATATCAGTCACACCAACAACTCCACTCAGATGTTGATAATTTGATGAAATATGTTCCTTACTCTGTAACCAGCCAATGACCAGGTAAATGAAGGCTTTAAAATTATTATTAGGATGGTGTGTGACCAAATCCCTTGCTACAGTAAACTTTCCATTATCCTGTATCCATGCATATGATATTTTCATCCAACTGGCAACAATTTTAAAGAAAATTTATTCTTATAAAGTAATTAGGAAACAAGTTTGCGATGCATGTACACTCAGCCACCATATGGCAGTTCTCCCAGTCCCTACTATAGCACTACCCACTATCCCTTCCCCACTCCCACAGGTGCCATTACAGTAGAGCTTGTTAAATTTCACATCATGTCACAATATATGAATCTACAATATTTCATCCTTAAAACCACTGTCACCTATGAAGAAACCCACACAAGAATGAAAGTGAAAATATGTTGTGCTGTCTCTGCATTGGGTTTCTGCAAGGAACCAGCAGACCCTGTTCTGCATACATGCTGGATAATGGGGTTTACTGTGCTTAGGAACACTCCAACTTAAAATACAGAATGTGATAATGTGCTACCTTGTCAGGGCTATCCCACAGAGCAGAGGGTGAAAAATTCATTAACTTCTAGTATAGTAACAATACTGTCACTAACTCAAGGACTATACAGTGTTGAATGACTGGGTCATCCTGGCAAAAATATGAACCAGCCACCTCCCGAACACAATCTCAAAATATTACAAAGAAGCATGGTAAAAAAAACTGATTCAATACCAATTTGTCCAACACAAATTTCACATGAAGTCACCCAAGATTGAACCCAGGCCTCCACAGTGAGATGCTAGCATGTAATGGCCTGAGCTAAGGCAAGGTCAATGGTAATCTGATATATCAGTAAAATAATTAGAAATCTGACACTTCAATTTATTATATTTGCCAGAGAAGAGAACTTGCTTCCCTTCCCAATCTCTCCAGAATATCTGACAGCACATTATGTCAGGTACTTTAGCAAAATATGCAAAAGAACTGAAAAGGAATATAATATGTAGTCAATTTTCAAAACATATCAGGAAGGGAAAGTGTATTACATTCAGGCAAATCACAGAAACCAACTAAACCAAGGTGATCTCAGGTGACCCTTGGCATCTGTTCCAGATTTTAAAATACAAGAACACCACAAGAAGCCTGCTTTAAATCTTAGTGTTTGAAATTAATAAGTATTCACAAAAGCAGCAGTTGTACTGCATACAATCCGCTTAGTGCCTACAAGAGAACTAGAGCATCTAGAGATTATTATTACCTGCGCCATCAGTCATGTTTTGTAAAATACTAGCATATGACAGGAGTGTACTGAGGTCATCAACATAGTGCCCATAGTGGTATTGTAAATAATGATGAAAGACTTTGTCGGTGGAAGTTTTGCATGGATAATGCCAAAAATACTATTGCTTTCGTCAGTGGTAAATTGCAGACATTAAAACGGAACGTAAATGACAGATTGTAATCAACTGATCATGGTAGGTCCCAGGGATGCACCATAGCTCAAGCAGTTAGTCGCTGGCTACCCACCGCGGCGGCCCAGGTTTGATCCTGGGTCTGGTCAAGTGGGATTTGTGGTGGACAAAGTGGCGCTGGGGCCGGTTTTCTCCGAGTACTTCGGTTTCCCCTGCCAATCTTCATTCCACCAATTGCTCCATAATCACCCTCATCTATCATCTGGGGCTGGTACAAGAGGCCAGAAGTGGCCGCAGTACAAGGGACTTAGTCCCACCCCACTAGCAAGCAATAACAGTTCAAACACATATTTACAACTGTAATTTTCCTCATTTGATTATATTTCCATACTTAAAAAAAATTCATAAAACAAATTCTGGAATGTTCCTTAAACAATAGAAGTATTTTATATTCAATAATGGTATTGAAATTATCATCATCTAACATCATTACATTCCTATGAGTCTTATATTAAACTGATGTGTGCAGTAAAGGTGAAGTTATCCCCGGCCTTCTTTAATTAAGCACCACACCATGAAGATGTATGGGGAACTGGAGGTATAACCACATCACTCTTTTAACTTTGGCACTAGATGGAAGCGAGTGGTCAGCTTCACATCCCAGCCACTTTACTCCCTGGGAAACAGCTGCTGGTACCCACTGCACAGGAGGCTGAGTGGGCCCCAGAGTCAGTCTGGATGTTCTGGAGGAAAAAATCTCTTGCTCCTGCCAGGTATTGAACTCTGAATCCTCAACCATCCAGATCATATCTTAGTTGCTATACTGACCAAGTTTTCATATATTTAAGAATTTCTGGAGATTTTCAAGGTATAACTGGAAGAGGGGGTAGAGATGGTGTTACTACAAATATCCATTTTCACGAAAATGTAAAGTAGTTATATAACATCAGAAAATTCTTTAAATATCAGAGAATATATCTCAGCAAACAACACATATGATCCAACCACTTCATGTGTAAGAGCAAAATATTTACAATATAATTTATATTCAAATATAGGTCTTATTTTTGTTCTGTACAGATTATGAGAGGTGGGTGGAACCCCACCAAAATGTGACTTCAAATTTTACTTGAATAAGTGTCCGCTTGATAACAGTATTAAACAGAACACAATCAAAACGCCACATCTCTGCTAGAAAATGAAAAACAAAAGCTGTTTATTATGAAACTGATGTCACAGTGACCCCATAGGGGGCAGTAATTTACAGGTAAATACTGAAGACTTCAAAATAGTCATCTCTCTTCATAGTGACATCCAATCAGACTGTTTCATTATGCCTGCCACCCTCAATATAAATGAGTTTGGAGATTAATACTCTCCATTCTGCCTAACATGCACAGCGAACACCTATAGTATCTGGGTCCACTTGGCATGGCGGCCACTGACTGGCCTACTGTACCTGCCCTGGGTCATTATGATCATGGAGAATTTGGTGGAATGAAGATTGGCAGGAGAAACTGAAGTGCTCGGAGAAAACCCACCCCAGCGCCAATTTTTCCACCGCAAATCCCACTTGACCAGACCCGGGATCAAACCCAGGCCGGCGCAGTGGGAAGCCAGCGACTAACCACTTGAGCTATGGCACAGCCTAACACCTATAGTAACTGTAGATGCAAATTGAGGAAACTTGCTTATGTGTTCATGCACACAAAGAAATTAAAAATTACATTCATCACCACTGGCAAAAGAGCGCTTTTTGAGCCATAGCACTCCTCAGAAGATTGTGCCAGACTGCATCTAGTTTTCATTTCTTTCAATTTTGCAACAATTATCGTTTACAGGGAAAGGTCATCAAGCCTCACATCCAACCCCCAACCTGTAGGACCAGGTCCCTGTATTTATGGCCCCCAGCAATATGGTGGCCCACTTATACCCCCAGTCACTGGGTTCCCTTGTGTGGTTATCTAAATAGCTTGCTTCTGTGCATGGCTTTGTCATTTAAATCTTCACTATGATTATGCAGATACAAGATATACGGGGTGTCCAAAATAAAAAAAAATTATATCTCGGAAACTAATTGTCATATCCAGTTTATCTCATTGGAAAGAAAAGCTCTGAAGGTTTCTTTTTTCACACCTGGCTTATCCACATGCACCACCTGGTGGCCTTCAGCGAGCTCAGTAATGACGTCGACACCAGAGGAACAGGTTCTATGTGTGTTGTGGCTAGCAGAGTTGCTATCTCTTACGGCTGCCCAGTGTCATTTTAGAATGCAATATGTATCACCATCAACCTCCTACATGGAAAGCACTCAGTTCTGGGATAACAAAATGGGGACTACAGGTAGTCTGTTGCATATAAAATCTGCTAGAAAGACATGGACTTCTGAAGAAAATGTCAATAGCAATAGAGAGGCAGTCCAGCCAAGTCCATGCATATCAATTCATGCTGCTAGCTTGCAGTTACAAATTCCGTGTTCAACAGTGCATGATGTGCTACACAAAAGGCTGCACCTAAGAGTGTACAAGATTCAAAGGATTCATGAACTACGAGTGACCAAATAGCACACACAAACTTTTCTGTGGAAATGCTAGAAAGAACTGATGTGTCACCCAATTTCCTCTGCCAAGTGCGCTTCTGGGATGAGACAACATTCCATGACAATGGAGTTGTAAACAGGTACAACTATAGGATTTGGGGCAGTCAAAATCCACATGTGACATGTGAGTTGGAGAGAGACAGCCCCAAAGTGAA